CGATCGCTACGTATGGCAAAAGGTACGTTTACCTTAACGTGGGTTTACGCAAACCCATCCACTGGATTTTCGTTGTTGCAGATGTTTCTATGCCAATCATTGGTATGGACCTTCTACAACACCACAATCTGATCATCGACACTCGCAAACGGAGGCTAGTAGACGGAAACACTAATTTGTCCGTTTGCGTAACTTCTTTTACTGGTTGCAGAGTATCCCCAGTCACAGTTAAGCATATGATAGACCCACTCTATCAACCGCTACTAGATAAGTACCCTGGGATACAACAAACTCAACCGAAACTACCGTATGTAACCAGCAATGTTACACATCACATCACGACTACAGGACCACCTGTATTCTCTAAAGCACGACGACTAGCTCCTGAAAAGCTAAGGTTAGCGAAAAACGAATTCGATCACATGATGGACTTAAGAATCATACGACCGTCAAGTAGCCCATATGCATCTCCGTTGCACATGGTCCCTAAAAAGGACAGCAACGATTGGCGTCCAACTGGTGACTATCGGCGATTGAACGCGAAAACCATTCCGATCGTTACCCGTTGCCTCACATTCACGATTTGACAGCTACCTTGAAAGGTACAACTGTCTTTTCGAAAATCGACTTGGTTAAAGCATATAACCAAATCCCTATGGCTACTGACGATATACCAGAAACAGCTATCATAACTCCCTTCGGACTCTATGAATTTTTGCGAATGCCTTTCGGTCTAAGAAATGCTGCTCAAACATTCCAAAGATTCATAGATGACGTTTTTCGAGGTCTCAACTTCGTACACGCGTATATTGACGACTGTCTAATCGCAAGTCCGGACAGAGAAACACATCTCAAGCATCTGGATCTTGTTTTCGAACGATTACAAAACATGGCATTACTGTAAACGTTCAGAAATGCCGATTCGGAACCAACTCATTAGACTTTCTGGGACACACTATCGATGCTCAAGGTATCCGACCCCTTAGAACCAAAGTGGCGGCCATTCTGGATTACCCAGAACCGACCACCGTCAAGCAATTGCGCACGTTCAACGGCCTGGTAAGTTTCTATAGACGTTTCATACCGAAATGCGCATTACTTATGAAACCTCTGACCGACCAACTTCGTGGAAATGCGAAATCCATTAATTTGGACGACACCGCACGAAAAGCATTCTCCACAGTTAAGGAACTGATTGCTAAAGCAACAATGCTCGCACATCAGGACACCCGAGCACCCATTAGCATCGCAGTAGACGCATCCGACTCAGCAATCGGAGGAGTCTTACAACAATGGGTTAACAACTCCTGGCAACCCTTGGCATTTTTCTCTAGACGGTTGCTAGACACTGAATCGAGGTACAGCACATTCGGTAGGGAACTCCTAGCTATGTATTGTGCCGTACGACATTTTCAACACTATATCGAAGGCCGTGAATTCACTCTTTTCACGGACCATAAACGGCTCACTTTCTCATTAAGCTCTCCTTCAGACAAGTACTCTCCCCGTGAGTCTCGACAACTGGACTACATTTCGCAGTTCACTTCAGATATTCAACACATCTCTGGAGCAAACAATGTAGTTGCAGACGCCTTATCTCGCATAACTTCCTTGAACAGTTTCCAAGGAATCGACCTTCTTAAACTCGCCCAGCTTCAAAAAGAAGACAGTGATCTTCAGCACGAGTTATCGTCCACAACACTTAAACTACGCATCAAACAGATGGGAACAGGTAAGGAAACCTTACTTTGTGACACATCTACAGGTAGGGATCGCCCAATCGTGCCGAAACATTATCGACGCAATGTCTTCAACACATTGCACAAACTTTCTCATCCAGGTGTTCGTGCAACCATCAAGCTTATAGCAGAAAGGTTTTGCTGGCCTGGAATGAATAAAGACGTGAGGGAGTGGGCACGCTCCTGTGTAAGCTGCCAAAAATCTAAGGTCATCAGACACAATAAATGCCCCTTAGGCTCGTTTAAAACTCCCGATGCTCGTTTCGACCATGCTCATCTGGATTTGGTAGGACCTTTACCAGATTCAAATGGATACTCTTATCTCTTAACCTGCGTAGACCGTTTCACTCGATGGCCAGAAGCAGTACCTATCAAGGACATCACTGCTGAAACAGTGGCTCGCACCTTCGTCGAACGATGGGTAGCAAACTTTGGCTGCCCTTCAACCATCACTACAGACCGCGGACGTCAGTTTGAATCCGATCTTTTCCGTCGTCTGACCACACTTTTAGGAATCACTCACTTCCGAACGACCGCCTACCATCCACAAGCAAACGGGTTGGTAGAACGTTTTCACCGACAACTGAAAGCTTCGCTATCAGCTGCAAACGTTTCACAGTGGACCGACGCTCTTCCACTCGTCTTACTTGGTATCCGCAATGCAGTGAAAGCTAACATTGGATACACTGCGACTCAACTCGTTTATGGAACGACACTTCGACTTCCAGGAGAATTCGTGGATCCTTCATCCTCTTCAATGAACATGGATCTAACCTCCTACACGAACAGGCTTACAAACGCAATGCGTTCAGTTAAACCTGCTTCCACTCGACCTCAATCAACTGATGTTTTCGTTCAACCTGACTTACGATATAGTACACACGTTTTCATTCGTCGAGACTCGCATCGACGACCATTCGAATCAGCATACGAAGGACCCTTCAAAGTTCTTCAACGTGAATCTAAGTACTATATAGTCGATAAGAACGGAACAAACGATAGCATCAGCATCGATCGCTTAAAAGCAGCGTATTTAGAAGGAAATCCTATTTACGTGGATCTTCCTTCGGTACAATCGAACGACACGACTCCGACACTTATAATACCTCATCCGACAACCAACACACACGATGATACTTCGACAGTATCCGGAAATAAACTTAAAACGACGCGTTCTGGAAGAAGGGTGAGATTTCCAGAACATTTAAACGACTATTGCACGTAAGGCACTTCTCGACATTTTATATTATTTTTTTTTTAAAAAAAAACAAAAAAACAATTTTAATATGCTTATATATTTTAATTTCTATTTTTAAAAAAACAAAACAAAAAAAAACAATTTTTTTAACGCTATTACGTGTTCATGAGTTTATTTTCCATTTTTTATCCGCCGACATTGTGTTTTTACGCACATACGAGTGTACTTTCGACATGCACTTACATTTTCTTTTTTCTTTTCCAGGACGGCTGGAAAAGAACGATGACGTTTATGAGGATCCGAACTTTTCATTGTACATTTTCTTATTTTACTATGTTGTACAACCGTCCCATATAGTAAGGAAAGACGACCAGACGCTGCTACACTTAGTAAGCTATCAGAAGAGTGTTTACCAACGACAAAGTCGTTGGGTTCAAACTTCTGGCTGGCCACGTCTTAGGGTCATCACTAACCCACTAGGGGGGGAGTGATCTGTAGCGGTAAATAAATCCCTAAAATAAATAGCTCTGTAAGTTTTCGACATTGGATGCTGACCATATGTTTTAGTGGACTCATCTAGCTGAAGGCGCTCGGTCGGGCATCCGTACCAGATCACGTGTGGTAACGCCGTGCTCAACATCAACCGCAATCGCTAGCCAGATTAGATCAGAGAATTCCGATATATTGGTCATCGCCAAATATACTCTTCTGATCTCCTCGACTCTGTCTTTTGATTTCTCTGGGTGGGAACGAAATATATTAGAAGGTGTTACTGGTAGAAGCGTTGTCAAACACTGAATACCTGTGACATCATCAATATCTTTGGTGATAATCATCGTTGTCAGAATAACCCAAAACTCCTGTTGTGAATCTCCTTTGAACAACTTAAACTTTCATCAAGTCATTACGTCTACAATTACTGTACTCAAAAACTCACCTCTGTTGTGCACTTATGGCGGTAGTTCTTCAAGTCTACGACATTGATGCCGACTTCATTAGTTTCGCTAAATACACCCTAGCTGAAAGCTCTCAGTCGCGCACCCGCTCCAGATCAGGAAAGAGCACATCGTGCTACGCGTCCTTTGCAACTACTAGACAGCTTAGACCAAACGCTTCTCGACATATCGATAGCTTTGTAGTGTGGCGTCAAGTCGCGTTTGACTATGGTCATCACTACAAGAAGATTGCGTACCAGAACAGGCTAAACCTCCGGGTAAACCAGAAATCAGAAGGTGACTGGAGGTTGTGACGATATATATTTGTTGGCGATCTCGTGGTATCGGAATAATACCGAGATCGTGCCAAAGGAGTACAAGCGAAACTACTGAGCAAACGTAAGTTCGTGCAAGGTCACAACCGACGGAAGGAAGAATGTCTTTAGTACAGTTAAACAAACAAGTATAGTAAAATAACCAGTGGAACAAATGGTTATAATAATAGTTCTCTCCATTATACCAATTGCGTTCTCTTGATAAACGTACGTCACTACAGCTTTTCAAATGTATTTTCGGACCTGTTCATTTCTTACTTCTGAATTGAATGATTTAGTATACTTCATTCATCGTCTCTCGGTGTTTCGGAATGGCACGAAAGTAAGACGAATGCCGCATGGGTCAGTCCATGGCATACTAATAACTGATGTGCGTTGGTTGTACATGACCTTGGCAGGGAACGATGATTTGTTCGACATTCAGTGATCCAACTGCCGGATGATTTGGCTAGGGCTCAGTGACATTTCACTGGTCCTGCACTACGTTTGAGAATGTTGTGAAATTCCGAATACATGTGGCACCTTTACTGTTACCTAACAAATAAGGTAGTACTCTGATTATTAGTTCAACAGTGTATTCGTGTTTCATATCTCATATTTGCTGATAGATTAAGTGACCAGAATTGATTAATTTCAAACATATTCCGCTAGGTAACTTTAAAAATATTTTGGAAGGTTTGTACAGTATCTACATATCATAGCCTATCATGCTCGCCGTCAGCCTGAATGGACACGAATACTTCAATAAACAACTTCAATGAAGGCATGTAAGATATTGTCTACTGGATAAGCGCGTGAATAAAAAATATCGGTACTGTCCGTTAACCGGTGTTGATTAGTGCTTTGCTTCCACTGGACTACTTAGATAATTTATTCCTGCAGAAAAGCTTAAGCTCGGCAAAGGGAAATCTTCCATGCGTCAAACTCGTGACCTCTTAGAGCTTAAGGTATATATCGTTACTCGCATAAAGATGTTTTAGGCTTTCATCCAACGCTGTCGACGGGCAGATCTTGATAAACTTATAAAGTTAACCAATCTTCCTCGTGGAGGTCTAAAGCAGGATATTCAATTGAGACTTATTTCCTACCTGGACCAGGATCCTTCCACAGAATTTCTTTCTGCCCTTCATGAACTGAGGGGACTGATGTATAGTCCTGTCAGTACGTTTTCTCCCGCATTTTCAGTGTTTTTGTTCTTATGAGACTATTTAATGTAACACAACCAGTTGATTCTGGGTGCTTGCATTCTTTTTTAATCTTATAATCTTTGCAAATTTGTTTCAACTGTAAATTTGAACTAAGAACTTTCATGTAGCTAGTCCCAAGCTTAGTATCGATCCGATTCCATTAATATAGTTTCTTATGGTGTATAAATAGATTGATTTACATAGTAATGCTTACAAACCATAATTATTTACTGAAAATATCGTACATCTACTAAATTCTACTGATACGCCACTCGAGATTGTCAGAATCTTGTGCATCAAAGTAGTTTTATGATTCCTAGTGGTAGTATAAGATGAAATAGATGATCAGAGTGAAGTTCCATAATTTTTACTACATTTACCATTGTTACAATGTTAGTCCAGCTATAATGGTCAGGTGCACAATTTGTCTTTACCTACATTCGCAACCTACATCTATCAAAACTAATCTTCGAGCTAAGGATGTTCTTTAGTTTCAGGGATGGCATGCGTTTAATGGCAACACATTTTGAATAATGCTAAGGTTCATTAGCGGGTATTTAGGCTTGGTAGAGGTGTGGATTTAGCGAGTACTGCCATCTTAGAACACTGTATTTGTTTTCTTGGTTTGATTTTCCTCATATCGTTCAAGCAGTTTTCCTACATCATGTTATTTGGCGACACCGGTACACAGTGACGAAATTTGAGAAAAGTTTAGTTTATGACAGCACCGTCAAATGGTAGTTGTTCTGGGTTAGGGTCGAGTACATTAGCATGTACTTGGTCACATAATTAGAATGTTTATTTAGGATTTTTGTGCTTGAATTATAGATTACAAATTGACTTGATTGTCCTGTAAAAATTGGGTGAAATGAACTCTCAGCATTACCTTCAATTTACAACTGAGTTTTTAAACATTTGATTGAGAATAATTAAACCTACACACTATCAAATATCTTGTTATCTTCTGAAGAGTCTTTTAAGAAGTAAAATGATTGTATTAGTTTGTCGCTGATTTTCATATGTGCTCTGTTGTATCTAACTTTTTTCTGTATTCCAAAGTCATCATTGTTATTAAAAGTGATATAATTCGTGTTTCAGACTTACAGTTTCAACAGTCAAATGGGAATTTCGAGCCCCACTGTCCGTCAAACGATCTTCCGTCATCGTTTGTGTATTTAAGAGACCCTACCATTCGTTGTTCTACAGAATCGTCAAAGAATAGTTCAGGACCGAATCCATGTGTGACAGGTACAAAAACAAGCTATGTATTACAGAAAGAGCAGTTGCGTCACAACCCTTACGTTGTACAACCGAATACAAGTGTTTTTGAACAATCATCTCCAGATGAATTAAATTCTACGAGAAGCAGGCAACAAAAATCTCAACAAACAGTTTCATCCAATGAACTCACACAAAGTTCACTGTTTCCAGGGGATCCTGTGATTAACCCATCAGTTTGGTCATCTTGGGAGTCTGTTAACAAGTTGTTACCTGAAAACCGAGTAACGACATCTCAATCTTACACATCTGGGAAGTCCCAAAATTTTAATCCCCATTCTCAAACAAATGTTGCCCTTCCTATCCCTATTCTATCCAATTCAGCTATGTCAGATGGGCATTCAGAAATACGTGTGCACTCTGAATGTCCTCAGAGTTCAATCCACACACTCAGTACAGACTCAAGAAAAGCTGCTGTCACACACAAAATAGGTCCACTTATAACATTGGCTGGAGGTAAGACACAGAATGTCGAAGTATTTTTTATTGGTATTTTTCGTCGCATGCATGTAGACCAAATTTTGTTGCTGTTTATTCATTGTCATCTGTGGATTTTGTTTTATTGTCTATTTCTGTGCTTTGAGAATTTAAAGTACCTTGAAACCTAGCATTTATTGTTTATTTTAGTAGGGGAATTATTTAAACAGTTCAGGTCAAGTATATATACCAGACAAAATGCAATTACATATATTTAAAGAAATCACAATAAAGTAATATGCTAGGAAGAATTCTGTTCTCAAGTATTGACTAACCAGAAAAAGATTTCATAGTCACCTAAAGTATTCATTTCCGAAGAAAGCAATAACAAAGATTTAAGCAGAATAACATGAATTCATTTTATTTCGTGTGGTTCTCATCAGCTGCTTACTTGTGACCGTTGTTGCTACCTTGACGTGGTGGTCGGGCTTGTCTATCGTGATGAAGCAACCGAGCTATACTGGCTGGAACAACCGTTTCTCAAGGTCCTACCATGTCAGACAGGTCGGTTGAAGAGCGGTAAGACTAAAAGCAACAAACCCAAGGTCCGAAGACAAAGTCGTACTGCTGACTGTACAGAGGTGTGACAGCAGTGAGGTGTTTCCTTCAGACAACCAGCATGACAGCGATGCTGCCTTCCCACAGGAAGGGATGGGGTTAGAAAAGGTCGACCCTAAAAATGCGCACCTCACCTTACCTCAAGGATTTCCGTCTCCGGCGGTAAGGCCCTTTGAAGAACGGAGCTAACACGTTAAAAACCTCCCACGAAAAGGCCGTGCGCGACCGGCCTCAAGCAGTTGTCCCTTGGGCACTGCGGTCACGCTCTCAGGTCACTGAGACCGCCTCTAATCCAATTTCCTTTTCAGGTACCTCCAGAAGAACCCTTCCACGGTGTGGGCAACCGGGAAGTGATAACCGCCCTCATACCTCTAACAGCACCCAAGACCACTTATTTACAAAATGGGCTACAATTACTTGAAGGAGCGCAGTTGGAAGTTACTTTAAAGACATCAGTGTAATATAGCAAGGGTGTAAATAAATTTAATAGATGGAATAAAGTATTGTAAATACATACCTTATATAGGGAAAGTTCTATAACGTCGGTAGTAACAAAGGTCCATAGGGCTGGAAACAAGTGGTTACGTAGTGAGTAAACGCTGATAAAAAGTAAGAATGAGTAAAGCTCAGTTAATTAAAATAAGATTAATAATCTAAATGACAGTTAAAATAAAAAAGCGTAGTGATGTGATTAATTGAAAGAGTTGATCAAAATTTTATGACGCAATGAAGAAATATTTGCTACCAATAGAAGGAAAGACTAACAATCATCTATTCAACACATAAATCAGGTTCCGGACGCCTTATAGCAACTGTTTCAGATAACTTCAGAAGTCTGGGGCTTGACTGTTTATTAACCACCTTGATAGATTTCAAGGTATTGGCCTGATGTTCTGTATCCAAGAAACGCTTAGTAATTGCGCTGTTTAAAGTATTTATCTCTCTTGTTCGTTCATTTTTAAAAGACTTGTCATATGAGGTTCTGTTTAGTCAACTTTGATCCATAGTTTATGTGTGAGGGCTAGTAATACGTTACTAGCCAGTCGCCCAAACCAAAATAATTGGTATGGTATTCAAACCTGCGACCTTTTAGTTGAAAGCTGAGTTTCGTAACCACCATATTACTGCTCCAAAACTTAAACTGCACCTTACTGTGTGTTGTATAATAATTTGTCAATATAAGGTTTTGGGCCTGTATGAACTTGTAGCGGATCTCTGTTACCACTCACCTACGTGCTTAAACAGATAAATTATCCTGATTTTCCTATTTGTCCTGCAACCCATATATTTTCCCTCTCTAATTACTCTCTTGTAACATCTAGGTTGCTTTATAGATATGTATATGCTAGAATGTATGTGTCTGCATACTTATAACTTTCGTGTTCATAAAGACTGTCACCTATTACTCGCTAAGTTAGCTATTTCCACCACTCCAGGGGTCTCGGGGTGTGGCCCCCTAAGAAGACCACCTGCCTCGATTTGGGCACCCGGGCAGTACCACAGCAACACAAAAATAAAATGAAAATGACGATATTTACTGAAAATTCTGTTCTCGCTTCGATTTACAATCAAACAATTCACATTATTATTATTATTATTATTATTATTATTATTATTATTATTATTATTATTATTTACGTCATTCACTTTCTTTTTTTATTCCCATTTTATGTATCCTTATTTTTCGACTGATACAGCAGCTCGCCTATGGTGGAATCTCGGTTCTATCTAAACGTTCTCGAGTCACTGACTGGTTGAAAATTGCGTGCTGCCACCAAATACGAATACCGAAGCAGTTTTTTGAAACCACGTGCACCATTCAAACTGGCTACCTTCAACGTTCGCACACTTATGCAGGTCGGAAGACAAATAGGGCTGGTTATGTCCTTGGAAAGTCTTAATATCGACGTTTGTTGTCTATCCGAGATCCGTACTCAAGACTGGTGAAGTACTACAAATTCGCTCTTCATCTGTCGCTTCAAAAAGCTTATTTTACGTGCGTTTATTCGGGAACCCTGTGGCATCTTCGTGTGGTCTTGCTGGCATTGGTGTCGCATGAAGCGCTAGAGCTGAGGCAGCACTAATCGATTGGATACCCATTAACAGTCGGTTATGTGCTGTTAGATTAGAACGTCCCATCAAAGTGAGAAGAAATCGGCGTGAGAAACGATGTCTTTTTGTCATCTCCGCCTATGCCTCGACTGATTGCAGCCCGGATGCAATCGAGGATGAAATCTACCATCAGTTAACTGTTCTTCTCCAGAAAGTGCGTTCGACAGATATTGTAGTACTAGCCGGAGACTTGAATGCTCAGGTCGGGCGTTTAGGTACAGAAGAGAATCGTCTAGGTGGCCGATGGGGAATTGTTGGTCGCAAGACAGATAACGGGGACTGTCTACTGCAACTGTGCACAGACCACAACCTGTTTCTGGCTAGCACTAACTTTCGGCACAGTCATCGCTAATGTTCCACCTAGCGTCCTCCCTCTGCATCTCAAGCCTGGACTCAGATTGATCACATCGCGATCAGCTACCGCTGGCGTGGTTATGTACAAGACTGCCGCTCCTTTTGGAGTACCCATCTGGACTCTGACCATGCCTTGGTCTGCGCCAATCTTACCTTACTTTTCAGTGGACAACGAAGTGACCACCATCAACGGATTGATATCAGCAAATTGGTTGCAACTTCTGTTGGTAGTAAGTATCGAACAGAGCTAGTTTCTAGGCTAGCTACCATTCCACCGAAAAGTATAGATGAGCATTGGTTGCAATTGCATGACGCCATGAAAATAGCGAGCAAAGCCGCTTGCGACTTCGCGAAACGTCCCGCCTATAAGTACTGGGTTTCTTCAGGCTCCTTACAACTCATTGAAGCCCGTTGGTCTACTCCGGGTAACCGTGAGTTTGACTACAAACGACGACTGGTACTTAATGAAATTGAGCAAAGCTTGCGTAAGGGCCGAGAAGCCTGGTGGTCGGAGCGTGCTAATGAGCGCTAAGCAACAGCTGCATCTGGTAATTACCGGAAGCTCTTCCAACTCATTCGAGCCACTGGCAGCAATAAGTTTGGTGTGAGCGAAACAATCTGTGAGGATGATGGGATGCCAGTCACTAACATCCATCGACGTTTTGGACGATGGGCAGAGTTCTTCGAAGGGCAGTTCAACTGGCCTGCTGCTCCGGCAACATCGGTCAGACTGTCCTGCCCTCCATGGCCGGTGACGACTGATCCACTAAATGAGATGGAAGTCCGTAAGGAACTTCAACTCTTGAAGTGCTACAAATCATCGGGCCCAGATGACTTACTCATTTTAAAGATGGTGATGACTTTCTGGCTAAGGAACTGACTGTGTTGTTTACAAAGGTCTGGGAACTAGAGAGTGTACCAACGTCATGGAATGAATCGATAGTTGTCCCTATCTTTAAAAAGGGTTCACGTCGTTCCTGTAACAACTATCGGGGGATAAGTCTACTTCCGATTGCGTCCAAGCTATTGGTTTCCGTCATACTTCGTAGGTTGTTCAAAATCCGAGAAAGATTGACTCGCGAGGAGCAGACTGGGTTTCGTTCTGGTCGAGGATGTATTGATCATATCTTCACCCTCCGCCAAATGTTAGAACACCGCCATACTAATCAAAGGCCAACAATCGTAGTGTTTCTTGACATCAGGGCTGCCTTCGATTCGCTGGACAGGGCTGTTCTCTGGGATTGTCTATTGAAGAAGGGTGTGCCTGAGAAGTTTATTAACATCCTAAAAGCCCTATATACAAACACCTCAGGCAGAGTGAGGGCATACAACCACCTCTCTCCATTGTTCCATTCGAGCAGTGGGGTTAGGTAGGGTTGCCCAATCTCACCATTCCTCTTCAACTTTGCCATCGACGACATTCTGGAAACAGCTCTGATAGATGTAAGTAATGGTGGTGTGGATCTGTTGCCTGGAGAAAGACTTCTCGAACTTGAGTATATGGATGATATTGTCTTACTGTGCGATAATGCTCAAGTCATGGAATCCGCACTTAATCAGTTGGCAATCAGTGTCCGTAGATATGGTATGTGCTTTGCATCTTCGAAGTGCAAAGTACTTCTACAAGACTGGCAGGATTCTAATCCTGTACTCACCCTGGATGGTGAGCAGATAGACGTAGTCGAGAAGTTCGTGTATCTGGGTAGCTGCATAAGTGCTGGTGGGGGTGTGAGTGATGAGATCAATGCACGTATAGTTAAAGCCAGAGCGGCTTATGCCAATCTGGGCCATCTTTGGCGCCTTCGTGATGTTAGTCTGGCTGTGAAAGGTCGGATCTACAACGCGTCGGTGAGAGCAGTTTTGCTCTATGCTTATGAAATCTGGCCTCTCCGAGTTGAGGATGTCAGAAGACTCTCTGTGTTTGATCATCGCTGTCTCCGAAGGATTGCTGACATCCAGTGGCAACACCATGTTAGTAATGCAGTGGTTCGGCGTTGTGTGTTCGGGCACAGAGACGATAATGCAATTGGTGTCACCATCTTGAAACAGCGACTTCGGTGGCTGGGACATGTTCTCCGAATGTCGTCCCAGAGAATTCCACGTCGTGCATTATTTGCCGACTCTGGGACTAGTTGGAAAAAGCGGAGAGGTGGTCAGTCTATGACATGGTGTCGGGGTATGTAAGAAAGCTGAAAAGGGCTGGCTTGCTTTGGTCCTTCACGACTACCTGGCTGGGGTCCTAGAGATGGTGTGACACAGTGGCTAGAGACGTTATCAGATATGGCTCAGAATGGAAGCTAGTGGTGATCCTGCTGTAACATTATTATTACACTACCTTACACCAATTTGGTCGTTATTATCCTTTTTTATTTTACGCTCCTTTTTTCCCCCCATTCTCACTGCTCTGTGTGGCGCATATATATTTGGTGCCCCCTTGTACCAATATTTATGTGTTCAAATAAATAAATAAATAAACAGAAACATTTAGGATGAGGTTCTGATCTACTGGGTAGTTAAAAGCCCAGTTATTTATCCTCTTACCGAACATTCCTCAATTAAAGTACAAATACTTTATTCACTTGTAAAAAGATTTAGTAAAAGTTGTCATTTGCACTTAGGATGGTTTTGAGTGGTTTCTTAACTGAAAATGGTTTGTTGATAAGTAAAGTTTCAAAATTGGGGGACACTACGAATATTGCGGAAGTGGATGTTTTGGGATTGCAAATGGACGTATTCCTCTAATGTTTAACAGTTCTGTTTATCTTGTATTCGTGTTCCAAATAGTTTCGCCCGGATTTACCTTCAGCTTCTGTTACTTCCTAAAAATGAATGTAGTATGAGTTATTAGAGTTTTCTTTCTAGGCCTTTCAGGTCCTACTGTTAATATGTTTTTCATATAATAATGATTACAACGCATTTATTCCTCTCGATAAGACAAGTTTACTCTTAATTTGTAACACGCAATTATGTAGTTGATGGGTCGTTTCGGCTTCCCGCTGTTTTACCTGAATTCAATTTCAAAGAGTCTCCATTTTTCAAACTGATCGATGTTCTTTTACCTCCGCAAATCATTCTCCCGGCCCACATTGGTTTTGCTACTGGACGTCGATCTTATGACCGTTCTTTGGCCTTGAGGTTCACATCTGACCAAGTCGAAACCATTACTTATCACTGGTGAGTATGATTTCTCTCGTCGTTTTGGTTACTTGTGTGTAGTCTTATGTGGGATGACAGATTTGCTTGTGCTTGCTCTGCATTTTTCCGAAAAACTTTCATAAGAATCTTTGTGTTGAAAACCTAAAGTTTTCTAGTATATTCGCGGTTATTACCCAACATCATTTCTTATTTCTTAAAACCATACTGGTAACTTTATGTCGACGCCCTCAACACCCTAGCTCCTAGCCTTACGTGAAGTCTGACAACAGTCATCATTAACCGAAACTATCACCCTTGGCCACGGAATTTTTGTTTGTGAACCACGCATTGTAGAATCGAGTACATTCATTTCCTTGATCTTATCTGGGCGGATGTTGGAGTAAAATTAAGATAGATGATATAGAATACAATCGACCAAATCCTGTGATATTTATAAATGCACTTTTAATTTTAAACCTTTGTATAGGGACAGCTATGCTCAGAAGATGGTGGCTAGAGAAGCGATTCAGTTACCAGGTGATATTTAGCTAAGGAGTAGCATGCAAAGTTAGTGATCGTTAGGATTGTCTCTGAGAAAAACATTACCTTGATTAATTTTCGGAATTGATGTAAAAAACATAGAAGAAACATTTTAACTAACTTCTGGCTACGTTTTGGTTATTTTTCATTCCAAAACCGTATGAGTAGGATATATTTATCGGCTTTTAAAGTTTTACTATAATTGGAAAATTGGTGGCAAATCTGAGATGAGAGAAAGCGATAAGATCTGTTAGTTTGCTTCTATTAGAATAATAATCGTGAATTCTTGACCAAATTAACTGCAAAAGTGACTTGGGTTTATGGATCTGAAATGTTTCTTATAGGATTACACATGGCTGTTGATCATTGCAGTTTAAAGAAAAGGGGAGTAATTCAAAAAGCAGCTAACTTGACTAACATGGCTTCTAAGATATTATAGTCTTTAGGAATAGCTTACCGTTTTGCAAAAAGAATCATCTCAGTTTTCATCATTGATTTGATTCACCTATCATGTCATCGTCAGAATTCTATCCTGGTAATACTAGTTATTTGTTAGCAAATACACTGCGTTCACCAATTAAAAGCATTTCTTCTCTGAGTTTAGATAGATTTTGTTTTAAACTAGAAGTATTATCCAGACTTCTTAGCTGAAGCGGCTGTAACAGATGTTGCGATCTAGCGGTTAGTAACTGCTTGTACCAGGGAATAGTAGCTTGGAATTAAACCTAGAGCAATTCAGTCACACGTCTAAGTCCCATTCTACTTGTTTTTTTCCCGGGTACTCTCTCAGTAAGGTTGCTACTCAAAGCCGAGTGAGTAAATTATACTTGTAACCAGGGTATTTCCTATCATGATACTAGCAACAAACTATAGTTTTTTGACTGAAACTTTTATATATTTAGCAGCTCCAACTCAACTTGATCGAGCGAACCAATAAAGTGGTCGACTCAACTTTGTTTCAGTTTACTCCCAGTCACCAGCCTTTGGGAGACAAATATATTTGCCGCTGCTACTTACGATGATATAATAAAAAAACGTATGGGTATTTGTAGAAGTTTTCGTCATGGTATCACAAACCACCCACTGAGAACAGGACTTAAGGGAGGGAGATTTGAGTTCCCATTATGAGGAGATATTTTCTTAACACTATCTTCATACAGAGACAAATCATTATGGCAAATTCGAACTTAAGGTACCTGGAATTTCCTCATGTCAATTTTTCGTTACCTATTTTCCTCGATAAATAAAGATTTCGATGCATCACCAACAGAAATCTGTAATTTTGGGATTTAAAAAACAAAGTATTTTGGTTCACTGATATTACACTTAATTTATTCACGGTAAAATCAATAAATTAATTGAATGGTTTTGTAAGACAATTCATCTGTTTTTCTTGTATGCAATTTACACTAGAATGCAAATTATGTAATATTTTTAAGATTATCAAAAGTAGATTTATTGATGTCAATGCTTTTTAGCTGGCGTGGATCTGATGAACGAATGGAATTCGGAGTGCAAGTTATTATGCGTTTTGCTCGTCTAGATCCCCAAGCCTGCCAACATCTAGTACAGACATATGAGTTGTATGGTAGTCGCAAGTCATCTAGTTTATCATTGGATAAACTCATTCAAATACCATTAGCTGAAGATAGTTTACCAGTTCATTTGATAATCCAAGTAAATGGTCGACCTATCCAACTCCCACCTCTTTTACCAAGTAATCGTCCTGGAATGGATGGACGTCGTAATCCTAGACCTATTAATATCACTCAGTCTGTAAGTATATTTGTTTATATTTGTAATTGAGACATTTGTCCGTAATTTAAATAGCGATTTCTTTTGCTTCCATTGATTAATATGACATTAGGATTTTTTTCGTAGATTAGTCTATTATTGTAAAATCTTAAATGACAATAAAATCATGAACTATATTTTTGGGGAAGGAGTTTTATGATGTACTGATTGTACATACTTTTGTTATCTTTGGGTTGTGAAATAAATAACGAAGTGTGAGATCGTTACGTTTGAAAATATTCTAATAATCGTGTATTTCAGTTGTCGGATATAGAATAAAATCTTTCATATGTATATAACAGAGAAACAACTAACCTTAGTTTGTTTGTTCGCTGGGAAAATACTTAGAATTGATGAAGAAATCTTTTGAAGCTGGTTTCATGGTTGTTATTCTTCAATTGTAATCATAAAGCTGGAGGGTAGTTTTGGTTACAGACAAATTCATGAACTAGAGAACTATCAAAAGTTAAGGAGCACTGAAAAAATCTGTTTAGTGATTACATTACCTAATGGTCGCACAATATTCGAAATTGATTGAAGTTGGAAACTTTTAAACTCAGAATAACTTTAAAGCTATCGTACTCACCATGACACCTAAAGGTTTTGGGTTCGATCCTAATCTGAATATATATATATATATATATATATATAGTTTTTCACTGAGGGAATAGTTTTAGAATTTTTCGATTTCCATTTACTTATCCATTTATAACGCTTGCTTAACTCTTCAGGAAGGGTTAACTTCATTTTTATGTAAGGCTATGACGTGTTATAATCTGAACGATAGATTTCAAATTTATCCAGTCAGATCATAATGAATTTGAGATTATCTTGTGCATTTTTTGAAGTTATCATGTAGTTGAACCGTCTTGATGAAAATTATTTGGTGGAACTGGGAATGGTATTTTGATTTTGGATTAATTTAAGATTAACTTGGATTTTTTTTCCAAACTTTCTTATTTATTAGCTTCATGTTTCCCCTACTGTTCCAAACTATATTAAATTAACTTGGACTCATGATTATTCTAGCTATACTTATAATGTTGTTGGAATATACTTGATGCGTAGACGTTCGCCTCAACAATTATGTGGTCTTCTACATTCGACTTCATTTCAAAATGCTAATGTAATGAAAGTAAGTCTCTGTCCTTATTTGTAGACGCTTCATTATTATAAACGTTATTGCCAATCGAACATCGCTGCTTTTCATCTTATGTATTTTATTTCACGGTGAGGGGGTTGTTGTGTCGATTTGGGCCATTGTTTTTTGGGTTTGCTCTCCAACTAATTGTACATTTAAACGAATATATTAAATATCGATTGAAGCATTTGTGTAGGTGATTGGTTAACAAATTCTCTTATTACTTGAGACTAATTAAATTATAAACAAAACCTTTGTGGTAGCCGTATTTGGACCGTTGGTTCTAGATTATTTGTCCAATCCGTCGGTAATCAAGTCTCTCAAACTCATTACTAGTCGTCATTTTTATTTCAGCTATTAAATATTGTGTATAGTTTTCATTTAGAATGAATATTAAACTTGTCTTTATAATTCATCGCTTTATTATTCTTAATCACAACTGCTTGATTAACTCAGATCGATCACAACTAAGTGGAAAACTGTGGATAGTTCAGTGATTAAAATTTGTTTAGTAGAATTTCGGAATATACAAATTGCAATTATTTGGTAGCATAAGTGTCATTTTAATCACAGATGTGACCGTTTCTCTTTTTGTGGCCCATTATCTGACTCCAATTTGATCGTGTGATTATCATTAAGGAAATTTACATATTGTCAATCCATGTATAAAATTATCAGCATAGATCGTGTTAGTGAATAAGTCAAATACGAGAATTAAGTTTGAATACTTTTATTTTGTACAATCGTTGATCAAGACAGACAATCAGAGAGAAGTAGCGGAAAAAGCGAAGAGGAGAGAGCGAAGCGAAACGAACCGGAGAAGGCATATGAACCAAATCAATTTAACTAAGCATTACTCAATATTTATAGACAGACAAAAATAATTTACAGATACGTAATGAATAATATAAGAAATGCACACATACGCTTACATAAAAACAGTCAAGGTTGATAAGCGAATAAGTGACATGGTCAAAATGTGACTCAATAAGAATGAATAAGTTGGCCTGCCCGAAAACTAGAATACGGTGTGTGGGTTTGACATGTCACCCGACACCACAATCTTCCATTGGTCAGCACTAGGTATTTTGGAAAATTTCCCTATTTTGCCTGTATTATTAGTCTGTAATAATTTTGTTTTACAAATATTTATTTAATTTCCACTCAGATGGAAATCATAAAAAAACTTAGTCCTAACGCTACCACTGGTAATATTGGTAGTGTTAACAACCAAAGTCAGTCTTTAGCCCGTAATGAGAATGACGATGATGATGATGACGATTTAGTTATGCCAAATACACTTCCTGTTCAACTTCTTTGTCCTTTATCTAAATGTCGTATTGAAGTACCTGTACGTGGACGTAATTGTCGTCATGTTCAGTGCTATGATGCAACAACTTATCTTATAATTAATGAACGTAAACCAACTTGGAATTGTCCTGTATGCGATGGTAAAGCTGTTTACGAAGATTTGATAGTTGATGGGTGAGTTTTTAAAATCCTTTAGAATTTGATTTTACTATACCAGTGGTAGAAATCAGACAAGGGTGGTTTGAGTATCGTGTTTTGTGTATGAAATGTATGTCGGTTGGTTTATTTTTAGCCAGATCATTTCTACTTTGTCTTGGTTTTAGTCAAAGTCTGTCAATAAAATGAGACCACTAAACTAAAAGTTTCTCTGGGTTGTTGCATTGTTTGCTATCGGTTTTAGCATTGCTTGATGGTATTGTTTCTTGTAGGAAATAATAATAAAGGTGTAATAGGTGCTTACTTTGTGATTTATTTCTTTATGAACGAATGCACTGTCGACACATATTATTCATAATAAAAGACAGCATTCGGCTAAGCTGTGTATATCTAAAATACTCAGAAGTATTGGAACAAGGAAGTCTAAAAATTAGTTCATGCAAATCCCATAATTTCAGCATATTAGGAACAGGTTGAAGCAAAACTGACCAATACTGACTGTTTTGAGCGATTTGTAAAATGACTTTCGTATTAACCAGTCAATCAGGGTGAAACTTTTGTAGATGAAATGGACATTAAGAAAGAAAACTATAATTACAAATAATATATTTTCGGGATGCTACCAGCTTAACTCTATCATCCTAATACAACACTTCTAGCCATAATAATCTTAAAACAACATTCCTGGTCTTTGTGCTTTTTTGCATATTATATCTTGATAACAACTACATAAAAAAGGCGAGATATCCGTCTATCAATAAAAGAACGAGTATACTGCGCGGCAGTTCGTTCTGTTCTGCTTCACGGCTGTGAAACGTGTCCATCAAGGGTAGAAGATACGCGTAAGTTACTAGTATTTGATCACAGAGGTCTCAGAAATATTGCTGGCGTCTGCTGGGACCAGTGGGTAAGTAATAATGAGGTTAGACGCAGAGTATTAGGGAATGATGGTAAATCGGTTGATGAGGTTGTGAATCTTCATCGACTGAGATGGTTGGGCCACGTGTTACGTATGCCTGAACACCGATTACCACAACGTGCAATGCTATCCGGTATTGGAAATGGTTGGAAGAAAGTTAGGGGCGTCCAAACCAAAACGTGGCATCAGTGCTTGAAGTCACTAACTTCTAGTCTGAGCCATGTCGGTAGATGCAGACTACTTGGTTGGGGTCCGCGTGACTATGGTAACCAATGGTTGGAGACTCTTGGTGACATGGCTCAGAATCGATCACAATGGCGTCGGTGTATACACTCCCTGTCTTCCCTTAAACTAAGAGATTAAAATCGCTTCATATCTTTCTTTCTACTAACTAATTCTTTCTTCTTGTACCATATCTCTATATGCAATCTTTCTCTTATATATTACTACCTTTGACCTAACCACTGCTATGAATCCGGTGTTCATCTTGCTGTGCTGACGTGGTATGGCAACTTGGACCGATGCATATATGTGCCTGGTCCTACGTTGTAGCTGTCTGACGATCAATGACAAGAATATTTTACTACTTTCACATTTCTAAGCACGTTCCAAATAATTTAAGACTGAGAGGCGTAACGGCTCCAATTAGTACAGTAGCTCGGTATTTAATTGAAATCGGGCATACCATTGACATTTTCCAATCCTTCAAAATTGTCAGTAGATATAAAAACACAGCGCTTCTCCGGTTTGCCGGAGCAGTAGCGATGAAACAACTAAGACCTAATTTGTGTCCAGAAAATGACATTAATCAACTTATCTCTACTTTAGTAAACTTATAGCGTTTGCTAATATCACGTGGAATTATTATTTTTTATTATCCTTACCACTATTAGTGTTTATTTTGTTATGCGCTCTTCATCAAACTAATTCTTATTTCATATACACTGAAACCATTCTCTTATTCATCGATTTTTTCTCCATTCACTCAATTTTCTAAACTTAGAGAAACTTTAAATATTGTTTAATTATTACATAAACCTGCAGTTTATAATTCTAGACACTTAGTCACCCCACTGCTCTAAATCTTCTTTATATACTTTTAAGTGATCCAAAGCTTCTCTAATTATCACACAACCTATTTTATCTGTTTCTGGACTTCGTTTAATTGCTGCCTCACACCCTCATTTTCAAATGACCTCACGCCTGTTCTTGCATATATGTATATATAGTTATCATTAATAATCTTTGCTATTTTAGTTTTCTTCCCGTCTGTAACGTTAATTGTTTCACATTATATCATAACTCAATGTTACATTTTAATACACATCAATGAATGTAAACGGTTGATAAGAAATCATGAAATATAGTGAATTTATAGTATTCTGCCTTAATTATTGTTATGGCTTTGTTCGAATTCGTAAAGCACACCAATTTCATGGAACTTTTTTTCAAGTCTATAAAGATGTATTTTTTCTTGTATACTTATAATCTGTCAAGCTGAAAATTTTGTTTACTTACTTTTTCTAAAAGTTTATTCTTAGAAATATTGAATTCTAAACGTTCTCAAGATCTAGAAGAAATTATATTTCATTCGGATGGTTCTTGGTCGGCCCTAGGCGAAGAAATGGCTTCTAATCAATCAGAAAATACTAATGGTAATAATACTAATAATAGTAATAGTAGAAATCCATCTGAGCCATCTCCGTGTACTGATTATAATCAATTATATAGTTTACAAGAAAGCCCCTATGCTTCAAGTCACATTACTTCAAATTCAATTAGGTCAGCTACTGATTCAGCTGGTTCTTCATTTGTACCATCATTTAATACTTTGTCTCCTGCTAGTTCAATAAATTCGTTGTCTAATCCAAACAATTCCAATTCTTATACATTATCAATGTCTCCTGCACTTGCTGTACGAACTGCAGCAATTACACCATTGATAAGGAATGATGTGGACAATATTTCTGCCCCAAATACAACAAAAACTACTTCTACTACTAGTACTACCATTAATACTAATTATCAGGCCTCGGTTACTGTTCAATCTTCACGAGATAAAGAACAAAATCAGTATATATCCCAAGAGGTTTGTTCTCTGTTTATATATGTACTATGACTTATTATTAGTTTACTTTATTGAAGGAGTGATGGGGCGTGGATGGAAAAGATTTCACGCATAATCTGTAATTTTTACTATCTTGTATTGTGAATAACAATTATCAAATCTTGGTAGAGTTTTGTTCTCTGAGCTGGATGGTTTGGTCGTGGAGCTTTCATCGTTCTTCTGAACGACATCATCAGCACAAACTTCAGGTAGAAGTAAAGTGTTCGAATTTCTCCATATGTGTTCCACAGCTTGTTCTGTGCACCTCGATGTTCACTTCTTTGTCTTGGTTGATAAATTTAAGGTCAATAAGAACCAATCAACATCGAGGTGCACAGAACAAGCTGTGGAACACATATGGAGAAATTCGAACACTTCACTTCTATCTGAAGTTTGTGCTGATGATGTCGTTCAGAAGAACGATGAAAGCTCCACGACCAAACCATCCAGCTCAGAGAACAAAACACCACCAAAATCATCCACCTGAGCTACAAATCTTCTCCACCATCTCAATTATCAAATCTATTTTCATAGTCATAATCTATTGAAATCTATATTTATAAAGTTCACTATTATAATAGACGTGTTTAGTAATAGTGATATTGTGGTGCGTGCTACTTATATTGATATAAATAGTATATGACGCGAGTCAGGAATGTAATGTCCGGCAGCAGAAGATGAGGAAGATCAAGAAAGGAAGAGCGGGAATAGAAAACAATTAGTATGGAAATGCAAGAACAATGAATTTCGAGACAATTATTGAACATTTTGCAAATTAAGTATTATAGTTTGATTTTTCTATTTTACGAAGTAACTCTGTAATTTTGTGCTAAATACGATTCGGTTGTCCTCACCTGTGTTCTCCTTCACTAGAATTAGCATATAAGAAAATAATATTGGACATTTATTAAATTAATTATTTATTTAGAACATTAATTTATCTTTTATTTTTAAATAGATTGAATAAATTTTACAATATATTTAACTTTTAATATATTTTTATTGTTTATTTTTATGGGCTAGAATAAAATCAAAGTTATGTAGGGGTTATTGTCTTCTTCTCCCTCTTCTTCTTCTTCTTCCTCTTCCTCTTCTTCACTGCTATCGTTTTTATGTATAAAGAAGTTTTCTCCACTTCATGTTCACAAATCATCTGCACAATTTAACTTTAGTTTAAATGTTTAATGACTGTTTTTGATTTTTATCCCCCCCCCCAAAAAAAACATAATTTCAATTATTAATATTCTTTTATTTTGTATATGTGTAAATTGTTCGATTTATGGTAATTTCTTACAACTGATTGATATCATTTAGAGAATCTTTGAAAGATTAGGGATTTGGAAAATGCAAGTGATTTATTAGATTCTTATTCAACACAATAAGTAATATATTGTGCTTGATGTCATGCATTCAACTGTAACAAGGTTATAAGTACAACACACTATTAGAATTTCTGAACAGTCACAGGACATATAGCTCTCTCAATGATTTCTGGTTTGAAACCATTCTCTAACCGATATTAGTACGTGATGAAAATTTATTTTGTCCCTATTTTAGTTAATTAAAAAAAACAATCTGCTTCTTTTCATTATTATTTTTCTTGATTATTTTTATCAGATTCCCTCCTTCACTATTGACTTAACATTATCTGATGATGAAAATGAACAACAGGGCATAAGTGCTCGAGAAACTGCAAGTAAGCATATAAGTACAATACATTTTTATTCTGTATAATTTTGTGCATAAATTATAACATCCGGTACCTATTTAGGGAGCTGTGGTGTATGTAATTGAGATACTGTCTTTGAGCTGTTGTTGTTGTTGTTGCGCATTAAGTGAAAATCTTCCTGTTTTATCTAGTATGCAATTTAGCTATCACGCTAATTGTTTATGATAACATGGATCAACAATAATATTCGGGATTAACAATCTTAATTAATTATTGCGTCATGGACATGTTTTAATACTACTTTTAATTTAATAACATACTAATATTGGTGATGACCAACACATAGGGGACTGAGTTTGCGAAACATTTAGGGAAGATGTGTAATCTGTAGTGGCTGGCCCTGTGTCGAGCCCACATAGGTTGTTCTAGTTTCTGAATAGGCCAATTTATTTATTCGTCTTAAACCACATTTTGACCTTGTCACTCATTCGCTTATTAATCCTGAATGTTTTTATGCAAGCGGCGTATGTGTGCATTTCTTATCTTACTCATCACATGTCTAACCTATTTTTGTTTGCTATAAATATCAGTAATGCTTGGTTAAGTTGATTTAGCTCACTCGCCTTTTCCATTGCACTTCATCCTGTTGTGCTTTGCTTTCCGATCAATGATTGTACGAGATATACGTATCCAAAATCCACTCTTGTTTTAATTCCGTTATTCACCAACGCGATTAAACTCGATTATATACTAGGATTGGCGACATGTATATATTTAGATTTCATCAGTCTTTTCGTTTAGGCATTCTCATAAAATTTGCTGAAATTTTTATGACATCATTTACTTTATCGATATACGTATTGCTGATATTATAAATAAGGCTTTTCAGCTATCTGTTTTGAAAATAACATCGTATAAGTTCAATTCCCCTTTTGCTTCTCACATACACTTACCGTAACTTAAAGAGTTCTGGTTTTTGAACGTACTTTTTTCCGTGGTTTTTATGTTCTTTTTTTAACTACATGTTTCTTTACTGTACGATTATACGGGTTAACTACTTGTTCTGGATACTTGTAAATAGTTCCTCGTGGTTGATAATGCTTAAGTTTCCCATCCTCTATTGAACTTGATCACATAGAGGCAGTTAAGTATTTATTTATTACATTCGCTACATATTTCATTTATAGTTTGTAATTAACTTCTGCAGTCAGTCAGTCAGTAACAACGTAGAACTTCGTACGTACGTACGTACATCAGTTCGAGTTGCCAAACCACATTAGCACAGAGATGCAGTTGTCGATTCAAATCCCGTAGTGGTAGAGGTAATAAGAGTATAAGCAGTAATCGGGAAGATTAGGGTTTGGAGATGTTATTTAAAGAGTATAATCCAGTGAAATAAATTTGGAAAGAAGAAAAAAGGGACATGAAGAATTCAGAAGACTAGAATTTGGGAGAACACAGAGAGTGAATGCACCTACGCCATTGCAAACGATTTTGAGCCATGTCATTCAGGGTCTCTAACCATCGATTGCTATCATCTCGCGGTCCCCAACCAGGTAGTCTACACCTACCAACATGACTCAGTTCACTTGTCAGTGACTTCATGGACTTGTGCAATGTTTTGGTCTGGCCGCCTCTAGCTTTCTTCCAACCTACTCCTATACCACTGAACATAGCACGTCGAGGCAGTCGGTCGTTGGGCATACGTAACACGTGTCCCAGCCATCTCAACTGATGACGTTTCGCTACTTCATCAATTGATTTGCTACCCTTACCTAGTACCCGTTTCCTAACAGCTGCGTTACTTACTCGATGGTCCCAGGATATACGAGCAATATTTCGAAGACACCTATGATCAAATACTAGTAACCTACGAATATCCTCTACTCTTACCGGCCATGTTTCACTGCCATAAAGTAGGACGGAACGAACTGCTGCGCAGTAAACATGTCCTTTGGTTGATAGACGGATATCTCGCCTACGCCATAAATGACGCAAGTTGGCAAAAGTTAGTCGAGCCTTCTGTATCCGTGCTGAGATTTCGTCACACACCAGACCACAAGGGCTGATGAGACTTCCAAGATAAGTGAAGCGGTCGACACACTCAACTACTTCACTCCCTATCATTAGTTCGGGTGTCGATGTAACCCAATCCTGAAGCAACATTTTGCATTTCGAGGGAGAGAATCGCACTATTCAAGTGATACATAATAGTTTCATTTTGTTACCGTTCAACCCAATGAACCACGCTATATTTAACTGCATATTATTGTATGAATAGAGTGAATATGTTTAGGCAAAATATTTCGAAATACTTAACATAAAATGAAAACCAAGACCCAGGTAAATGAAAATAAATCAACTATGGTTTAGTGAATGACACTATGTTAAAACTAGGAGTTTTCATCTTGATGTTAGTCATATAAAGTCAATGGTTTGTTCTTAATTTTTTGACCAAAATATCGATAAAGATATTTTCAAAAAAATTGTAAGACGATGTTACAAGTGTCCATTGTTATAGGAGCTACCCATTAAAGTATGTTAGAAATGAATTATCATATCCTTCAATAAATTAATTACATTTGTTCGTTTGTATCAGTTTAATCTAATTTTAATGTAAATTTTATTCATACATATATGAACTTCTAAGATATTTAAAATGTAATAGTTGTTTGTAAACATTAACCTATCTCCAATAAAACATTGCATAATTGAATATTATCAATATGAACTTGTTCTATTATCAATTATATTAAGTTTTTATAATTTTTTTTTTACTTATTAGTTTCTGAATTCATTTTTTAGCCAATGAATTTACATCTAAGAATTTTTAATCTTTATATAAATTTACAATGATCATATCATAAGCTTAAGTTATTTTACAGATTTTGTTTATAGAAGAACACATGATATATTGAGTACTATATCATAGTAATTTCAATAGTTGAGATCATGAGGCAATTGAAGTTAGACCACCATAGGAAACCTGGAAGCACTGGACGGCAGTTTCGTCTTATTGTGGAACTCCTCAGCAGTGCGCGCATCCATGATCCTGCCTCGCGAGATTCGAACTGCTTAGGAGTTCCACAATAGGACGTAACGGCCATCCAGTGCTTCCAGGTTTTCCATGGTGGTCTAACTTTAATTGACTCATGATCTCAACTATTGAAATTACTGTAATATCCACAAAAAAACCCTTCTGATATTATATTATATTCAAGATTTGTATTTTGTTTTGTTTACAAAAGTGTTTTCTTTTCTTTTTTTGTTGTTAAATTAAACCTGATTATTTTATTCAATAGAATCTCCTATTACATCATAGATCATATAGATGTGTGATTTTGTAAAGTCAATTAGAAATATTTTGATTGATTTTTTTGTTGAGAAAATTAACTGAGAATTTTGTTACTCATTAATCTTATATTAATATAATAGTCATCGTATTATATTAGATTATTTTCATTAATTTAATATATTTAAATAAATAGAATTAATTAATTTTCTATTATTAATAATATAATTCTAAAAAAGTGATTTGTAAATGAATCTTCTTTTTCATAATCAACGACGAATTTGTCCAGTATTCTAATGAATCTATAAAGATTCGACTATATTTTAATTCATTAGACAACTCAGCGGTTATTAAACTGTTTCAAATTTAAAAATAAGTAACCTATAATTTCTATGTTCATTTAACTATTTTTCTCTCTCGAAATGTTCCATTGAATTCTTTCATTTACTTCGAAAAAAAAACTTTAAAAATAATGGATTTTTTTCTAGGTAGCATTCAAGTTCCTACAAAGAACAATAATTCTTCTTCGCGTCCTATAAATACAGTTACATCGTATTCTTCATCATCATCATCATCGTCATCATCTTTATCACCGCAATTCCCTCCTAGTGATTTATCTCAATCTTCGCATTATTCCGAAAACAATTATCAACATCCATTCTCATTAAATACGAGTAATAAACCGTCTTCAACAGCATTATCAAGTACTTCTAACTCTAAAAGTTCTAATCATTCGAGTTCCATACCTCTTGTTTATTCATCAGAACCAAATTCTACACAATCAGTTAGTGTTAGTCAAAATCTTGGAGTCCCTAGTGTTTCTGTAACGAATGTCCCTTCAAATCAAAGGCGTTATCCTCCTGTTAGCAGTGAACATAAACTAGTACAAGGACCGGCTACTAGCATACTTTGTTCTGCTACTAAATCAGATGTTCCTGTTAGTTTACCTTCAATTGGTAAGCTTTGTTTTTATATATCACGTGTAAAACTGGGTTTCAATTGACAAATGTCTTTTCGATATTATACTGACTGTCGAAATATAGACTCCACGTATCCAATCTATTCACTTATTACAGAAGTGAATTAACTTTTTCACTCAAGGGCTGCGCAAACCCAGATACTGTGTCTGTAGGTTTCATATGGAAGATACCGAAATGTTTTTCATTACGCATCTGATAAGTATCATTTATTTTTGAAAATAACATATAATAGCCAAATTATCAACATTAATTTCATTTCATCAATGGATTATGTGCAGCTAAGATGATCATATTGTCATGAATAACAGAACGATATTATTATTTTCACTGCAATCTGAGTTATTTACCTGAAAACATCAAGGGATTGTCCGCATTTATTTAGGTGTCTATGTAGGTACTAATTGGAACATTGTTCTTTCTTATTTTTTTTTTAATCTTCAACATAATTTCATCACACTTTTTATTCATACTTATTTCGGCTATGATCTCTGCAAACAATGTGCGAAGCAAAGACTGTCAGTATTGATTATTCTAAAAATATCATGTTAACTTATGGTAGAAACTGTGTCTAAATTTGGTACATTGGCTTACCTTTTACTTGTTATTATCATCGCCTCAACGACTGGGTTGATTGACTTTTGTGATGGAATAAAATGATTACATTATTTCGGTCGATATTTTTTCGTATCAATTTACTATCGATTTCCACCTAAGTGACAGATGTGAACTTAGTGTGTGACGTTTTAAAGTCAATATTTCTGGTGTAAATTCAGCATGGACTTCTTTCAATATGACGAGGGTGAACTTTCGTTTTGGTCTAACGAAGACGTGACTTTATGACTTGTTTGTGAACGTGTTTTTGGAGAGTCGATAAATTTCCATTGCACCAGGCTTTCGTGTTCTTACTTTGCGTCATGTGAATTGCTATGGTTCCCGATTGTCTAGTCTAAAAGCAGTAAGACTGCGGACCCAAATGAGGCGATACGCACGTAACAGCGATGACACACCAGATATAACAGCGTCGACTCCAGACGTAATAACGACATTAGCACCACAAAAGCTAGATATACGCATATTAGTCTTCAAAATGATTTATTATTTTCCTCACTCTACCTCACAAGTCATATTTCTTTGCAAAGATGTCATATTGATAAAGGTTTTACCAAAATATACCGGCATGCATCATAGGCCTTTTTATTAGCCTTATACTAATAATTAACTATTGTGTTTCCCAGTCACTTCAGCATCATGTGGAGGTAAACGTCCAAGCTCATCAGATTATAATTTTTCATCGTTGAATTTCTATCAATCTGGGACTCAATCTGTAAGTAATAATCATGGGTTACGTTACAGTCCAACCGTTCACACTACATCTATTTCAAATGAATCCGGTCAGTATTCTTTTCCAATAGCAAAAGTACCTCGGATTGAAATTCCACATAGTCAACATTATGGATCGTCTTCAACGCAATCTCAGGGATCCTATTCTAATAATAATAATAATAATGGTTATAATAATTCTAGACGGTGTACAAATAGTCCATCTGGCTCAAATTCGTATACATATCATTCCAATATAACTCGACAGATGCCATCTGATGGATATCATAGCAACAGACTTACGTCGTCAACATTCCATTCAGGTCAATCTTCCGATCATTTTTATCCCAATGAACATACAACAAATACAAGTAGTCGATATACATATTATAATCCTAATGAATCTGGCAGTAATAATAGTAATACTAATCGAACATACTGCTATTATCCATCCTCAAGACATGTTAGTTATCCTACATCCGATTCTGGGACAATTTATCCATATAATAGACAACCATCATCTCATATTCGTAGTCCTTACGAAACTCACCACAGAAATGTAATAGTAAGTTCTACCTTTTTTAAAAAAAATTTAACTGTTTATTCTAGAAAGAAATTTACTCAATTTTTTTCGAATAGTACATTACGGTGGTTGTTTTTGTTACTCTATTTGTAGTATATAGACATTTTAAGTTAACTAAAGGTTTTATCAGTTATTCTAACTTTTTTCACTTAAAATATTTTACTTTAGAGCAGAATTATTTATCAGAGATATCTCTTGAATATTATTTTATTTAGAAGTCTGTATTTAATTGTTTTGTTATAAAGGATATAATTTAATTTATCAGTAGTAGTATGTATTCATGCTCATACATTAGTAACATACAATATATTTGTACAATAATTTTTTTATTATTATTCATGTAGAATAACTCTTTGCCAAGAGATACACTTCATCATAATTCACAAGTGAGGTCTTCTGATATAACTAATTCAACATATTGTGGTAACTCAGTTGACTCACGTAGAGGATTTCATTGACGTTGCTTTAAAATCGGTAAATTTCATGTGAATAATATGTTTTATTTTAAAAAATTGTACATTCATTTAATTTTAGTTGTGTTGCATAAGTTTATAATGCTTTCATTTAAATTTTAAATATATAAGATATAATTAGGTTTACAAATGGTTATTCCCACCATGTTACAGTACAAGCTATGTAAGTTTTCTGATGGATTTACTTCAACCCATTACTTAACGGAAATTAATTAGGTATTCTATTTAGTTATATAAATGTATTATAGTTAGATTTAGACTGTCGTGGCAAAGCATTGTAACAGTATTCAAAATTAGTTTTTGAAAATGTTTTCTGGAATATGTAAATAAGTTATCATTTCCTTTGTATAATTCTTAGATGAACATCTGGACACTATATATATATATATATATATATATAGACTGAAAAGTTTCAAAGCTGGGACAGTGATGGATTAAGGCAAGCTTCTGTACTTCTTAACAATACAGCAGAAAATTATTAGAATTTTTAAATGTACATAAAGAAGGGGGTTCGAGATTTATTATGTTTCATAAAAAATGAATACTGCTGTACGAGTTCGTTAGTATTCTAAGGCCCCCAGATACTGGGATATCCCAATAAATATCTTTTGCATTTTTCTAGATATTTGAGATTAACAGCCATTTGTTCTGTGAGTCGATTTGTTATCTCCGTTTAAAACATACTTCAAGCTCTAATGAAAATTATTGCTACGGTCTTAGCGTGCATAACGTGTCTCATTTATTTCAGTTATTAAAAGAAAATATATTGGTAAATTATTTGCTTTTCTTATTCATAAATCCATTTTCAACTTCACGATCCTTTATTCATTATTATCATCCACATTTACTGACTCCTAATCTCCCAATGATGTCTTCATTTTGACAGATCTGAGGAAAACGGGCTACTGCCATTTGTATTTATAGTTCGATGCATCGCCTATGAATAAGGCTGGTAAAATTTAATCAGTCTACAATTATGATTTAAGTCTATATGTTTAGTATGAACCCCAATGTATCTACCTCAGTTTATAACGTCGAATAATATCTCTAACCTTCGTTTAATAAATCAGATTCAAACCTTCTTACACAATTATGTACTTGGTTTTACTAACATTCTTGAAATTCATCAAGGTGTATACCTGATGTCATCTCATCAATTGAGTGTGCTTAATTTTATAGAGTATGTAAGGTAGATAAAAGCCACATTCATTTCATTTCCTATTATTAACTTAATCGTCAATATTATTGTAGGCTTTCTATGAATGTATTATTATTAACTAATAGTTTTATTAGTGTAACTGCATTTTCTTTTTAGATTTTCCTGATAAAAAAAGAAGATAACCGTTTCATTATTTCTGATGAATTTTTCTTTCTCTGTTAATTGAATGTACACATTTTTCAATAATTTACTTTCTTTCTACCTTTTTATCTTAAGCAAAAGATTGATTTGTAAATATCATTCATTTTTGTAGACAATAATAACTCATTGCGCTTCTTGCCTTCTCTTTTTAATGTATAACAGAATTTACACAGATTACATTTGCATTTTCTTTTCCATGTTGGTTTTTCTGTAAATGATTTTTATTTTTATGTAGACTACTTAATAAATAAACTGTAACAGGATTACTTATCTATCGTATATATACAGTTAATCTTTCTATTTTCTACTGCCCACTGCTGTGACATTATGTCAACTGACGAAGTTTAGTAAAAAAAGCATGGATAAATCAAAAACTATAGTTTTTTTACTTTTAAATACTTCTTTACTCTGTTATCGACATCATTCGTTTTGATTAGACGGCGTACACTTGAAATTAAGATGAATATGTAGATGTACATGTATCTTATCAGCGCTATTTTAAACTTCAACACTCCAATTATGGTACATGTTACATGAAGTTTCCTTATAAAGGGCGCCATATTTATTACCGCATTTTTCTATCAGATTATTGTTCACCTGTTGTTAACTAGGCTTATTAAATGACCAACCAATTCATTATATATAGTTTTATTTGTCTACCTTCTTGTTGTATAAAATACAGTTATGTCTATTATTATCGTTATCATTTTATTCATGCTGTCTCTCTTAAATTTGATTGTAATCAAATCTAAGTGAATGTCTACGTATATTCTCTTGTTTATGTTAAGTTTATAACTATATTCTTTGTAAATGTTTTAAAGTATTAGCGTATTTCAGCTATGTTTATTTAAGGGAAACACGTGATTTGTATAAAAGAGACTTGAACTTGTATAAAACTAGTTTCCTTTTTCTTTCGTGTTTCATGCTTGCCGGATTGTTGTTTTCATTGTAAGTTTTTGTGCATGGATAATTTTAATTAATCCACTTCAGTTATATTTAGGTTATGTTCACTAAAACGTCTACTGAAATCATTTTGTATTAATCATCAATAAAAATTAGTGATCTATTGCAGCTCTTGGTGTATAAGCGTTTAATTTTCATCATTCTATGCCTCATGTTATGTTTATTTCTACTTAAACATCCAAATTGTTTCATTAGCCTCCACAGTACTTGTAGTTCATTGCTAATTACTTAAACCGGTCACTAAATTCCGTCAGAATTTAATTATGTAATCTTTTATGCAGAGGACGGTCAGTCATTATTCTTTGGATCCAAAAAACGTTATACTGTCTCATTATTGTGGTTTGTTGACTATGAATGTTTCATTTGCTGACTGCATTGATACTCATTTGGAATCCACTATAAGAAAGTGTGCGTTTATCTGTTTGAAGATTGAGATTTGATGATAAATTTACCAAGAACTAAGGCTTGAAGTGGTTTCATGTCAGAATGGCATTGTAGATTAAGGCTTTAATCGATATCACTAAAGATATGCATTCATCATAAATCCAATCTATAAATCTTTATCCCGAATGTAATTATTTCATCTGTAGACCAACGTTTTTTGCTTTCACCGATAACACGCCTTAACGAGATGACGAGATAACATTAACTCCTGTTGCTATAACATACCTATTCACACAATGATTAGGACTATCAGTTGTAGCAAATATGACTGAAGAAAATCGAGTTTCATCAGTTTTTTTAAGGGAATCGGGAACGTCCTGCCAACCGAGTTGTCAAAGATACCGTTGTGGTGTGTGCTACTATATTGTCATAAGTAATATATGATGTTAGTCGTGAACAGAAGGTCTGACAGCAGAGAGACAAGATGATCGGACAGTAAAGAATGGAAACAGGATGCAATTTGTATAAAAATGTAAGAACAATGAATTCTAAGTCATTTTGAGACAACTGGTTAACATTTTGCAAATTAAGCATTTACTTTGTGATTGTTAGATTTTATTAACAAGTCCTGTAATTGTGTGTTAAGTACATTCGATTGTCCCCATTGGTGTTCTTGTTCACTACACCGTTAGCTAAGATCTCATATTTTCTAGATTTTTACTCATTTGTTAAGTGTTTTCAATAAATTCAAAATAAAGGAATTGCTATATACCATTGACCGTGTGATGTGTGCTACTTATGTCGATAGATATAAGTAGTATGTAATGCCAAGTGGAAGTGGAAAACATGGCAATAGAAGGCTATGAAGGTTGACTTGAAGAAAATGGAAGCGGAATTATGAAGGAATGGTGAATCAGAAGAATCATACAAAACATGAAGGACAAATGTTGGAGATTTGCAAATGAAGCATTTCATTTTTGGTTCTCGTAATTTGCCAAGACTTTCTGTAATTTTGTATTAAAATGCATTTGGTCATCCCCACCTGGATCTTTGTTCATTACAACTGACCTAAGCAGGAAAAATTAACTTATGAAGCCTGTACATTTTTAACAGCTCGTCCATTTATTTTAGTTCCAAGAAATATGTTTAGGAGTTGTAGCAATAACATTCTCTACTAGGTTTACCTTTTGATTCAGTATTTTTCTACTAGCCATCTTTCGCTGAACCTATTTACATATCTACATTTCAGAATATTACGTTGTTGTGACGGGCGGTGTCCGCACTCTGATACTAATATACGCGGTGTGCTATGCGCTAACTCCAAAAACTGAATACTTGAGCGGGAAAGTGTATTAGGCTACCGAATAAAATGCCCAAATACTCATTCACAGATATACCACTCTGATCCCTATGAAATCGATCCATTTCTTAGCCAATGATATGGCTATATGGTCCTATGGATAAACGTATGTCAGGAAGTAAACTTTTAATTTACAGTTTATGTTACTTAGGAAAGTAGATACCTACTTCTTTTGAACACTTACGTAGCTAATGTATGTTTTGTCTTGTTCAACAGCTAAGATATAAAGTATCAATCTTTTTGCACAAAAGTTTGTAGATAATACCTTGAAGAGTCCTTTAGATTTGCTATTCATGAGCTCGATTGTGACTGCCAGCCTTAAAGGAAGGTAAAAGAAAACTATTCTATCACAAACCTGATAAGTTGGCAAGCTGAGGAAGGCAAGGAGATAAGCTGGATAGGTTTTCCGGTTTACTACTGATTCGAACTAACTTAAAAAGGCATATATAACTAACATAATTACATCACCCAAGGAATTAGAAAAAATACAATTATGTTCAATTTAGTGCATTATTGTAGGAAAATGGGATGTAAAGTCACATTTAAATTACAGTAATTTCGGAATAAAAAGTAGCACGGCAGTGACTTATGCGTTGAATAAAAGCTTGACGGAGAAGATTTGGAAGATGTAAAAACCTTTACATATTTGGGCAGCATCATTGATGAACAGGGTGGATCTGATGCAGATGTGAAGGCGCGGATCGGCAAAGCAAGAGCAGCATATTTACAACTGAAGAACATCTGGAGCTCAAAGCAACTGTCAAACAACACCAAGGTCAGGATTTTCAATACAAATGTCAAGACAGTTCTACTATATGGGGCAGAAACCTGGAGAACTACAAAAGCCATCATCCAGAAAATACAGGTGTTTGTTAACAATTGTCTACGCAAAATACTTCAGATCCGTTGGCCGGACACTATTAGCAACAACGTACTGTGGGAGAGAACAAACCAGATCCCAGTGGAGGAAGAAATCAGGAAGAAGCGCTGGAAGTGGATAGGACACACATTGAGGAAAGCACCCAACTGCGTCACAAGACAACCCCTCACATGGAATCTTGAAGGTCAAAGGAAAAGAGGAAGACCAAAGAACACATTACGCCGAGAATTGGAGATAGACATGAGAAAAATGAGCAAGAATTGGATGGAACTAGAAAAGAAGGCCCAGGACAGAGTGGGTTGGAGAATGCTGGTCAGCGGCCTATGCTCCATTGGGAGTAACAGGCGTAAGTAAGTTAGTAAGTAATTTCGGAATAAAAAGTAGCCTGGCAGTGACTTATGCATTGAATAAAAGCTTATGATCCATAGAATCAAACATTCACGATCCCTCTCGCACTGCTGAGGAGCCCCATACTAATACGAAACGGTCGTCCAGGTTTTCTATAGTAGTCTAACATCAATCGGTTCATGATCTCAATCAAAAACCTTATCTCCTCAATCCTATACTGATAAATGCTAGAACATTATTTAGTCTAGATATCTTAAAAGTAGCTTCCGTTGTTCTCCATCGCCTTTCTGATTTCTTTCTTTACATCGATATGTATCAAACTTCTGACCCATAGGTCCAATACAAGTTCCTTGAGTGACCATAATTCCCATATATACTGTCTTCATAGTAGAAATTAAATTAAAGAACAGCACCTTATGTTATTAATCTGAGGTAGGTTTTTTTAATCCATATTATAATTTGCGGTCGGAGTAACCTTATTAGACAAATTATCTTATAATTAATGAAACTAACATAAATTGTTCAGTCACTTTTCATGGTAACATTAGTTTGCTCAAACATATATATGAAGATTAATATTCTTGTAATACTATCAGTGCAAATTTGTTTGGTTACATTGTCTTCATTTTGTTAACTTTTAACTTCCGACTTATTTATCACTTTATTCATGCTCTTTCTAAATACTTTGTATTCTGTAGGTTATTTTACCAAAGTTCACAATTCACTTTCATAATTATCCTAACCTAGTTTTTAATAATCTTTTTTTATTTAAGAAAATTAGTTTTAAAGTGTTACAATAAAACATTTCAATTTTGTTACTTAATTAAGGTGATATAATTCTTGAATGTTTTATCCTTTTGTAGTCATGTCTAAACGACTATATTTTAAATAATATTCTAACTAAATAAACGTTGTTATGGAACGATACAAGAAATAAGGAAAAGACAGAATATGAAGATTTCTTATACATTAAAAATAAATCAATAACTATGTCTGAAGGCATCGAATTCTGTATAGTTTATTTATAATACTTAGTAATTCAATTTGACTAAATTAAATTGAGTAGCACTTGGTGATGACTTATTGTATGGATATAATCGATAAATATCAAGAAATATAACTAATTTACTGAGTTATATAGTTATTCCTCTCTATCACTTCGATTTTTTTTGTAACTGGTTATCTATTAAAAAGTTAATTATAAACGATCAACTAAAAAAAACTCAGTTTTCCATCTTCGTTACACCCTATCTTCCTTTAAAAACAAGTCCTGGGTCATGTTTTCAACATTTTTAGACACTTTTAACAGTATCAATAAATTGACAGGATACTGACCTGGATCGATTTTACAAATAAACAAGAGATATCAGTTTTCTTAATAAATTGGGTTTTATAATTTGTTAGTTGATATTTCATACATTTTCTTCGTTTGTTTGAACAGTTATTTTTAGATTGTCGGTTATCACCAAAAAATAAGATGCTCACTTAATTCTCCTTCGATCTATGCACTATGTCAACTTGTTCAATGATTTAAACTAAAAGAACTTTCAGACGATCCATATTTAGACTTTCATCAACTAGTTTAGCAACAAACTTTACGTTGATAAGACGCTTACGTTTATTTGTCAAATCCTAAAGAAATAAATATGATTCTTGCTCCTTACCTATTAAAATTTTTATACAAACTTTTAAGATGATTGCATACTATATACAAACACATTGTAGTTGAACTGAACACGATTCATCGAATCAATATTTAGATCAGTTTAGGGGTTGTGGAGGTTGTAAAGTTTTTGATTAAGGTTATGGACCGATTGATGTTAGACCTCCATTGAGAACCTGGCAGCACTAGACGGCCGTTTCAATCAAAAACTTAACAATCTCCACAACCCCTAAACTGATAATTACCATGTGCTCACTAGTGACTAGCTTCGTGAAAAAACTCTCGGAGTTCTGGTGAGCAGCCGTGACCAGTGGAGCTAATCCGCGTCGGGTAGAAACAGGGGTATACCTTAGCACAATTGAAGATGGTCGTGCAACTTCGTGGATTGATTGAGGTTAGACATTAACACCACTGGATGCTGTTGAGGCTAATGTCCTCAATATCTGACTCCAAATAATAATATCCTGTAACTGAGTATTTTTGGTAGGCTTAATCTCCTAGTAGAATTGCGAATTTACTCGAGATTATTGAAAAGCCTGAACACCAGTTATAGAGATAGTTTATTGTTAATGAATAATAATAATCCACAAGCGTACGATGAGCAAGCACACGATGAAACAGAGTGAGTGAGTGAGTCTGTTAAAAATCCATATATATTTGAGAGTTAATCGGGTGTGGATAGATTATCGATTATCTGCACATTGAAACCAATAGGAAGATAGTATAAGAGTTAATGTACAGACATACATTCGATCATACACACCGAAATTAACATAGTGAATTGAGTCTGAGTTACAATGACTAGATAAATGATACAGTAGCCAAATGGGCTTGCCACATAAGCTCCCATCCAGAACATTGATGTTTTTATGTACCAAAAAAAATTGGATTAACATCTATGTTCGACAAAGAGATAAAGAACGGAACTGTTTTTAAAATAAAAGTACAACTCAATATGATGAGTAAGCGTAAAATTGTAATAACAGCTTGTGTGTTGAAACGTTTCATATCATGTATATACAAGTGTATATTTAACATTAATGAATTGTATAAAGTTAAAATGTAAGCATAATGATGATCCGTGGGGCCAATAAAAAAAATAGTAATCAAAATAAAGTAGGATTTTTATGTGTTATAAGAGTAGTCTCAGGATTTCGTCTAGATAAATATAGTGGTTGCTACATACCTATCTGGCCAATGTACTCTTCTTCCTGATCTTGTTGTAGTTTGTGCTGCTGCTGAACTTTGATTTGAAGTGTTGCTTGTTGCAGGTAGTTTGAATGGTGCTTGCTCTGCTGCAGGTTTAGACTGTTTTTCAGTGTTCTCTAAAAATGCTGGTTTTACTCTATCGATGCTAACAGTATCATGTTTACCTGCTCTTTCCACTGTAACCGTTTTAGTGTCCTTTCGGATGATTTTAAAAGGGCCGTCGTAAGGAGTCTGTAACGGCTGTCGTACTCTATCATTTCTCACGAATACATGTGAGCATTTGTCTAGTTCGTTGGGTACGAATGATTTCATCTTTTGGGTTCGTGGTTTAACGGACCTAATGGATTCCATCTGCTGTTTTAATTGTTGTACGTAGTTGGTTATATCTGCTGGAATATCTGTTGCACGGTCAAAAAATTCACCAGGCAAACGTAATGTTGTTCCATAAACCAACTCAGCAGCACAACAACCGAGGTCTTGTTTGATGGTTGAGCGAATGCCTAATAGTATCAAAGGAAGCTTGATATCCCATTTGTAATCTCCTCGTGCGGCCGTCAAAGAGGCTTTTAACTGTCTATGGAATCTTTTTATCATTCCATAAGCAGACGGATGATAAGCAGTGGTTCTAATTCTCTTTATACCGAAAGTATCTGTAAGTTGCTGAAATAGTTTGCTTTCGAATTGCGTTCCACGGTCGATCGTAATTGTTGTAGGGACACCGAAGTTTGTAATCCAGTGTTTCACCAGCTTCTTCGCCACTGTTGATGCTGACGTGTCTTTTAACGGAACAGCTATGGGCCATCTCGTAAATCTATCTATACATGTTAATATATGCGTGTAACCATTAGAAATCGGTGACGGTCCAACAATGTCGATATGAATATGGTCGAACCTAGCGCTAGCGGCGGGAAAAATCCCGGTAGGAGATATGATGTGCCTATGTACTTTTGATTTTTGGCATTGGACGCATTCCCGTGACCATTTTCTTACGTCTTTGTTTATTTTTGGCCATACAAATCTATCTGTGACAAGCTTTACAGTGGCTTTTATACCTGGATGAGATATATTGTGTAATTTCTCAAAAATATTTCGTCTCATACCGAAAGATACAAAAGGGCGAGTTTTACCTGTTGAGGTATCACAAGCTAAGGTGTCCTTGTTGTTTATGGGGATGTTTAGGAATAATAATTTCATTTCCTTAGACTGCAAAGGCTTTTGTAGCTCCGTATCGAGTTTTTGATGCTTTGCCATTTCTTGATAGTCTATATCAGGGATCGAGAAAGTATTGATATTTAATCTCGATAGTGCATCTGCTGCCTCATTTGCATTGCCTTTAATATAGCGTATATCAGCTGCAAATTGTGAAATGAATTCTAGGTGACGAATTTCGCGCGGACTGTATTTATCATGATTGTGCATCAAGGACTTAGTTAGAGGTTTGTGATCAGTATATATCGTGAAAGAATTGCCTTCTAACATATAGCGAAAGTGTTTGATGGCTAAGTAGATAGCCAACAGTTCTCTACCGAATGTGCTATATTTTGTTTGCGTTGCGTTTAGCTTTTTTGAGAAAAATGCAAGGGGTTGCCATTGTTCATTGACACGTTGCTGAAGTACAGCACCTACTGCTACGTTAGAAGCGTCGGTCATTATTGCTAAAGGTGCATCAACCTTTCGTCGTGCGAGTAATGCCTCTGTGCTTAAAGCGCTTTTCAACTGATCAAATGCTTGAATTGCTTGCGGTGTCATTGCTAATGATTTAGCTCGTCCCCTTAATAAATCAGTTAGTGGTTTTGCTAAGTCTGCACATTTAGGGATAAAACGTCTGTAAAAGTTGATCATCCCAAGGAAACGTCGTAGTTTCTTGAATGAATCAGGCAAAGGATAATTTTTGATAGCTTGTGTTTCCTCAGGAACTGGTTTAATGCCTTGCTTATCAAGTACGTGACCTAAAAAGGTGAGGGATTGTTTTCCGAACTCACATTTGTCAGGATTGACCGCTAACCCATACTCGTTTAGCTTCTCAAAAAGCATTTTCAGATGAGTTAGATGTTCATTTTCATCTTTGCTTGCTATAAGTAGGTCATCTATGTAAGCATTCACAAACGGTAAGCCCCGTACCACTTGGTCAATAAAACGCTGGAAACTTTGTGCAGCATTCCTTAATCCGAAAGGCATGCGGACGAATTCGTATAGTCCAAAGGGGGTAGTAATGGCTGTTTTAGGAACATCGTCTGGATGAATTGGAATGTGATGGTAAGCACGGACGAGATCAATTTTTGAAAAAATCGACACGTCAGATAGGCTATGAGTGAAGTCATGCAAATGTGGGAGAGGATATCTATCTGGTATGGTCCGGCTGTTGAGAGCTCTATAGTCACCGCACGGTCTAACTTCGGAAGAGTTTTTCTTAGGTACCATATGGAGCGGTGATGCCCACGGACTATCGGAGGGGCGTATGATGCATGTAGTGTCAGTTATTATGGCAAGCCCATATACCTTATTCTAACTTCCGGACATCCTATTTTATTCATTTTACTTGAGCCATATTTTGACCTTGTCAATTATTCGCTTATTAGCCTTGACTGTTTTCACATGAGCGTATATGTGTGTACACTTCATGTCCCATGATTCATCATATGTCTGTAGCTTATTTTGTCTGCCTATAAATACTGAGTAACACTTAATTAAAATGGAGTTGGCTTCCCAGCCATCTTCCATACGTGTCAAAATTGCTTTGTTATGGCTCTCGCTCGCTTAGCATGCGAACGGGCATCCTCATTGGTAAGCCCGCCGACGGCGAACGCAGCGCAGCAAGCTACGTCGATGAAGGCACTTCTGCACTCTATACGTTCGACGAACATATTCAGCGAAGCCAGCGCAATCTCCAATCCGACGCAATCAGCACAGCCTGTGCAACATGACATGGACATGCTCAAGTCGTATTATCTTATCGATACTTTGTCCTCATGTCAATTAACCTCATTGATACATTTTTCGGATTGTTCCATTACGATTCAAATTATCATTATATGCTTATTATTACATTATTATCAATATCATGACCGAATGTGGAATTATTAATCTTGTTCGTGCTGTCATTAACTTATGACATTTTCGCAATCATATCACTCACTGAACAAATTATCATTTTATGAAAATTCCACTCTACGTAATGACATCTAAAACTCATTGGAAATTTTCCTGCTTTAAGTGAGTTCGTTCCAATTTTTTTCATGTCATTTTGGTCTAATATTACATTCATTCACTTAGTTGAGGTCCGCAATTTATGTTATCACAATATACATTTTTCATTTCGAAATCGCCTCCTATTATGTCTGTGGATGCTTCTGACTAGCTGATTAGTAACCATTACGCTCATTTTATCTATTCTTCCACGTGCATAACTACATGCTGCATCACTTATCACTCAAAAACGCTATTCGAGTACTGCAACTACTATTCTATTCTATACCAATCGCTCGGTATATCAGAACATAGAGTTTAGAGCTAGCCTCTCAAAGATACACTCTTGTTCGTCACATCCAAGTCAGTCTCATAAGTCGCCATCGTTAATCATATGTATTGGTATTTTTGTCATGCCTTGGTACGGTTTTGTAACAAACGAGATCGAGCGCATCTCCCTCAAACCACACAAACCATTCTAGGCTTCATGACCAAAAAGGAATACGACTCTATGTACCTCGTCTACTCAGTCACTATTCTGTTCCTCTGGTCATTCTACTAATACATATTTAATGATAACTCAATGCATCTGTCATAACGCAGACGACAACGTCCACTGACTTCAAATTTTATGATTATTATCAATTGCAGTACAGCAACGAATATCACCCGTCGATGCACATATCATTTCACGACTTTCCTATTATCATCCTACGCATTTAAATTCGAATTCACTCATCACTAGTCGATGCTATTTATTCTGCCGCGGCTCAACAGAACATATATTTCTCATATTTCACTATTTTGTCAGCATCACAGACCAATTTCTGTCATATTATACTGTACTCATTTTGACGATTTATTTCCCTGTCATACCCACAAACAATTTATTACTATTTTCACGATAATTTGAATCACTCATACAAACATGTTATTTTATCGTTCAGACAGTCATAGAATTAGTACACGTTAATTTTTTGTACGCTCTTTAATTTGCTCATATTCACATGCTAACATTTTCATTTTTGTCCGAGCCTTTGCGATATTCATGTATTCTTTTGCATAAGCATGACATTTTCATATAATACACTCACCCCTCATGTGACACTGTACTTTATCGATTGTTGTACAATTTTTTTGGCTACTTAGTGTTAGCGTTAACTTCATATCACTTCACTGTTATTTTCGAAAACAGCCATTTTTTAAATGTGCTATTTTCTACAAGGGGGCTATGTAGTGTCAGTTATTATGGCAAGCCCATATACCTTATTCTAACTTCCGGACATCCTATTTTATTCATTTTACTTGAGCCATATTTTGACCTTGTCAATTATTCGCTTATTAGCCTTGACTGTTTTCACATGAGCGTATATGTGTGTACACTTCATGTCCCATGATTCATCATATGTCTGTAGCTTATTTTGTCTGCCTATAAATACTGAGTAACACTTAATTAAAATGGAGTTGGCTTCCCAGCCATCTTCCATACGTGTCAAAATTGCTTTGTTATGGCTCTCGCTCGCTTAGCATGCGAACGGGCATCCTCATTGGTAAGCCCGCCGACGGCGAACGCAGCGCAGCAAGCTACGTCGATGAAGGCACTTCTGCACTCTATACGTTCGACGAACATATTCAGCGAAGCCAGCGCAATCTCCAATCCGACGCAATCAGCACAGCCTGTGCAACATGACATGGACATGCTCAAGTCGTATTATCTTATCGATACTTTGTCCTCATGTCAATTAACCTCATTGATACATTTTTCGGATTGTTCCATTACGATTCAAATTATCATTATATGCTTATTATTACATTATTATCAATATCATGACCGAATGTGGAATTATTAATCTTGTTCGTGCTGTCATTAACTTATGACATTTTCGCAATCATATCACTCACTGAACAAATTATCATTTTATGAAAATTCCACTCTACGTAATGACATCTAAAACTCATTGGAAATTTTCCTGCTTTAAGTGAGTTCGTTCCAATTTTTTTCATGTCATTTTGGTCTAATATTACATTCATTCACTTAGTTGAGGTCCGCAATTTATGTTATCACAACATACATTTTTCATTTCGAAATCGCCTCCTATTATGTCTGTGGATGCTTCTGACTAGCTGATTAGTAACCATTACGCTCATTTTATCTATTCTTTCACGTGCATAACTACATGCTGCATCACTTATCACTCAAAAACGCTATTCGAGTACTGCAACTACTATTCTATTCTATACCAATCGCTCGGTATATCAGAACATAGAGTTTAGAGCTAGCCTCTCAAAGATACACTCTTGTTCGTCACATCCAAGTCAGTCTCATAAGTCGCCATCGTTAATCATATGTATTGGTATTTTTGTCATGCCTTGGTACGGTTTTGTAACAAACGAGATCGAGCGCATCTCCCTCAAACCACACAAACCATTCTAGGCTTCATGACCAAAAAGGAATACGACTCTATGTACCTCGTCTACTCAGTCACTATTCTGTTCCTCTGGTCATTCTACTAATACATATTTAATGATAACTCAATGCATCTGTCATAACGCAGACGACAACGTCCACTGACTTCAAATTTTATGATTATTATCAATTGCAGTACAGCAACGAATATCACCCGTCGATGCACATATCATTTCACGACTTTCCTATTATCATCCTACGCATTTAAATTCGAATTCACTCATCACTAGTCGATGCTATTTATTCTGCCGCGGCTCAACAGAACATATATTTCTCATATTTCACTATTTTGTCAGCATCACAGACCAATTTCTGTCATATTATACTGTACTCATTTTGACGATTTATTTCCCTGTCATACCCACAAACAATTTATTACTATTTTCACGATAATTTGAATCACTCATACAAACATGTTATTTTATCGTTCAGACAGTCATAGAATTAGTACACGTTAATTTTTTGTACGCTCTTTAATTTGCTCATATTCACATGCTAACATTTTCATTTTTGTCCGAGCCTTTGCGATATTCATGTATTCTTTTGCATAAGCATGACATTTTCATATAATACACTCACCCCTCATGTGACACTGTACTTTATCGATTGTTGTACAATTTTTTTGGCTACTTAGTGTTAGCGTTAACTTCATATCACTTCACTGTTATTTTCGAAAACAGCCATTTTTTAAATGTGCTATTTTCTACAAGGGGGCTATGTAGTGTCAGTTATTATGGCAAGCCCATATACCTTATTCTAACTTCCGGACATCCTATTTTATTCATTTTACTTGAGCCATATTTTGACCTTGTCAATTATTCGCTTATTAGCCTTGACTGTTTTCACATGAGCGTATATGTGTGTACACTTCATGTCCCATGATTCATCATATGTCTGTAGCTTATTTTGTTTGCCTATAAATACGAGAGGGATCAAGGCGTCTCGGACGTGCGAACACTGGTGGACCCTCTGTCTTTATGTGGTGTACGACGGTATGCGTCGGTTTGTTGTGTTTGAAACTCGGTCGTAATAAATCTGGAAACTGATTAAGTAAATTGACGTATTTGTCGTTCTCATGATGAGGTTTAACTAATAAATGTATGGAAGTCTCATTTGATATAATTCCTCTAATTTCCTTACTCTGTTCGGCAAGGACAAGTTTCCTATTTCTGACGTCTACCAGTATTTTGTGGAATTGCAGAAAATCAATGCCGATTATAGGAACGAGGACGTCCGCTATGATGAAACTCCAGGAAAAATTAGATTTAGGACCGAAGTTTAATTGCAACCGCCTTTTGCCGTACGTCTTGATGTCAGACCTGTTTGCAGCTTGTAGTTTTAGTTTGGGGTCAGGTGTGTTTTTCTCGAGTGCAGTAGGTGGTACTACACTAACCTCTGCTCCAGTGTCGACTAAAAACTGTGTGCCGGTTCTTTTGTCTGTAACATATAATAGACGACTGTCTTGAAAGTTGTGGTCAGTGAGTGCAGTCGTCAATAACCTACGGTCTTGACTTTCCTTTTTCTGTGTGCTTGCAAAGTTACAAGGCGGAGTACATTTTCTAGCTTGTTTGCCATATGTTCTATGGTACCAACAAATGTTGTGTCTAGTAGTGCTTGGACTACTTCGTCTACGGCTTGTGGATGTTCCTCTACGCTTGCTGTGGGAGGCATTCAATAATTGGATCTGAGCTATCTGTTTCGTAAGGGTATCAACTGATCGTCGTAACTCGGCGATCTCGTCAGCTGAGCTTGATTGGATTTGAGATACAAGGTGAGTCTTGGACCGTCCGTAAATTCTGTCGGCTATGTCTGCTAGCCTATCAAAATCAACGTCTTCGTCTCCAATTGCTAGTATCTGTTGAATGTTTTGAGGGAGACGTCTGAGCCACAATTGATATAGTAGACGTTTGTCTACTGTACGATTTCCTAATAAGTTTGTCATGTGGCGTTTTAACTGTGACGGTGTATTGTCACCTAGCTCCACGTTGGCTAAAAGTTGATCAATTGTCTGTTGGTCGGTGAGAGATGTGACACGAATGACCTCTCTTTTTAGACAATCGAATGGTGAGTCAGGATCCGGCTTAAAAATGACATCAGGCACTTGTTCAATGACGTCGTCCGGCAGCAGTGAGTTTGCATAACTAAATTTTGTACTCTGATTTGTGATTTTGTTTGCAACAAAAAAGCTTTCTAAGCGAACAAACCAGAGTTCAGCCTTTCGTGGATTAAAAATAGGTAAAGGTACAGAAATGGCACCCACAGAAATAGATTTAGATGAAAGGCTTAGCGAATTATCAAGTGCTATAATACGAAGAAGCAATAGTAATAATAAGCTGAGGATTGTAACACACAATATGAAGAGAAATCAAAAATTACAACAAGAAATATATATAAGTCTCACCGAAAAGAAAAATTGTCACTTTGAGTATATATATGAGAATATACAGTAATAATTCCAAAGGGAAAATGTTATGAGTGAATTTATTATGACTGTCAATGGATTGTTATTAATTATAATAATAATTCCAATATGAAGTTCTTTATGATACGCTTGAGGAGAATGCAGCAGACTTTGTAGAAAAATGGTGCGCGTTCTAAAGGCGGGTCACCAATATGTAGAGGCTAATGTCCTCAATATCTGACTCCAAATAATAATATCCTGTAACTGAGTATTTTTGGTAGGCTTAATCTCCTAGTAGAATTGCGAATTTACTCGAGATTATTGAAAAGCCTGAACACCAGTTATAGAGATAGTTTATTGTTAATGAATAATAATAATCCACAAGCGTACGATGAGCAAGCACACGATGAAACAGAGTGAGTGAGTGAGTCTGTTAAAAATCCATATATATTTGAGAGTTAATCGGGTGTGGATAGATTATCGATTATCTGCACATTGAAACCAATAGGAAGATAGTATAAGAGTTAATGTACAGACATACATTCGATCATACACACCGAAATTAACATAGTGAATTGAGTCTGAGTTACAATGACTAGATAAATGATACAGTAGCCAAATAGGCTTGCCACAATGCCTAGTGGTCCAGTAGGTTAAGCGTTCGCACGCGAGACTGAAGGCCTTGGGTTCGAATACCACGAGCGGGATCGTGGATGCTCACTGCTGAGGAGTTCCACAGTAGGCCGAAACGGCCGTACAGTGCTTTCAAGTTGTCAATGGTGGTCTAACACCAATCGGTTCATGATGTCAATCAATATTTAGATGTTTGCATGCGTTATTCATTTTATCTGAACGGGTTAACTCATCGGGTAACTGTAGATGACTTCAAGGAATATAAGACATTGACGACTGCTAGCTAAACCTTTCTCAAAGGATACTGAGAGTACCATAAGT